TATATCTCTCTTTCTGCGCCAAATTTCAATTTCTTCCTTTTATACTGTTGCTTATCGGGAACCTAGAACAGATATAGAATTGGTTACACAAGATCGGTATATACAGCGGCGACCCATCGACCACTTGTAAGTCTCGTTACATATCTCACTTTCAAAGACCTTTATATTATTAAATTGTCATTTATTATGTAAATATTGCACGAAGCTTATTTAAAAAACTGACCGAATATACTGCAGTTAATAAAATATGTATGATTTTTTATATTTGAACGCACTTTTATTAAAATTTGGAAACACATGTAGCATGAAATTAATATTGTTGAATATTTTCACGACTTTAGATAACGTTAATAAATTGTTTTTGGCTGTAATATAGATCATATGTATGATACATTTTTTTTTAGTAAAATACATATTGCACATCTACAATTTTATTATAGATATTGGTAGATATTGTATCTATTAAAATTTTTATAAAAAGCAGAGCACTTTTGTATTGTGTAACTTTCTTAAAGTTTTAACATGCTGCATACGTTTATTAAAAATTGTATATTATACGTCTTTCTGTGTAATTTTAGGGGCATGACAATTACATCTGGGAACGTCGTAATACAGAAGGATACCAGTAATCTAATCGGCATAAGCATCGGGGGCGGTGCACCGCTTTGCCCGTGTCTTTACATTGTACAAATCTTCGACAACACGCCGGTTGCTGTAGACGGTACTCTACAAGCGGGCGACGAGCTTGTTGCAGTGAACGGAGCATCGGTGAAGGGTAAAACTAAAGTGGAGGTTGCAAAAATGATACAATCCTGTGACTCGCAAGTCAGCATTAATTACAACAAGTTACATGCCGATCCAAAGCAAGGTCGCACGCTCGACATCGCCCTCAAGAAGGTGTGTAAGCGCGATTGCGTTGCGACACAACTCTATAAGTCTTCCACAAATTACGTGATAACCGAATTTCCTGGTTTGCAGGTAAAGCATAGACTTGTAGAAGGAATGGGTAGCACTACAGCTGATGCACTTGGACTGTCGCGAGCGATCCTTTGTAACGACGCCCTCGTACAAAGATTAATGATGTTGAAACGCACGGAAAATTTCTACAGAGGCCTTGTTACGCACGCTAAAGCTACATTACATGCTTTCTTCGATCTGACCCAAATTTATAAAGGTACAGGAGTTTCATATACAGGAATTATTGCACGCTATTCACTCGACCGTGTTTCTTTCCAGTATTCGGAGATGCTTTCGCTGCCATAGGAGTGCGAGAGCCGCAGCCGCGTGCCAGTGAAGCCTTCAGACAATTTGGAGAGCAGCATAGGCAAATGGAAAAGTTCGGAGTGATAATGCTCAAGACTCTGAAACCAATACTGAGCGACTTGGGAACGTATCTTAACAAGGCTATACCGGATACCCGGTTGACCATTAGCAAGTACGCCGATGCAAAATTCGAATATCTGTCGTACTGTTTGAAGGTAAAGGAATTGGACGACGAGGAGCAAAGCTGCGCCGCTCTGCAGGAGCCTCTTTATCGCGTGGAAACGGGCAATTACGAGTACCGTCTGGTACTGAGGTGTCGACAGGAAGCTCGCGCGAGGTTCGCGAAGCTTCGCTCAGACGTGCTGGTGAAGCTTGAACTGCTGGACAATAAGCACGTTCAGGACGTCGTGTGGCAACTGCACAAGTTCGCGGCAGGTCTAGCCAAGTATTACGCCAACACGCGGGACCTGTTGTCGACGGTGACGTTGTTCCCGGTCGAGGTCGACCTGTCGCATTCCGCGTTTCAGTACAAATCTACCGGGCCGCAGACTCTGACGGACTCGAGCGAGGATATTGAAGAGTACGATTCCGACGAGAGGATGCTCAACATTAACGAGGAACTTCTCATCGACACATCAAATTTCCCGCCGGATTCAACCGATAATACATAGCAATACTTAATGAGTTTCTAAAGAATTTCGGGATAAATAAGACCTTTCTTACAATCTGTATACGCGTACATAATAGCGAATTCGGCAGCTTGCACTAGTGCGCACTCAGTGCGCATGACTTGTATACAGTCAATTCTTATACTTGAGGATCGTTTTAAATACTTTTTGAAATGCTTCTTAGCCAGTAAAATGATTTATATAGCTTTCGTACGGATCATTTTATTGGATAAATAGTTTTTGGACACGTGCTTAAGATGACCATAAATATAAGATTCTGAACAAGTCTTGCGTACACTTGGTGCGCACTAGTTCAAGCTGCCAAATTCGGTATAAGATTTAATTAGGCTTCGGAATTCGACTTCTGCTTTCAATGTAACTGTGATTATAGAATTAAAATAAGAGAAAATAAGACGCACGCGTGTCACGCGTGTGATATATATATACATACCATTAATGTATATTTACTAAAATAAAATTATTACCAAAGAGAGAAGAAGGGGAAAAGTGAACTGTGTGAATTCAGTTGAAAAGAACGAATCTAATTCTACGTGACTGTTTTTAGGGGGTCAATCATGAATTTTTTCGTCCGGCGTGAACTCGTTGAAAAGTGAAAAGTACATTTCGTTAACGAATATTGAATTTATATTTGTTAGTCAGGGCTGCTTTCGCGGGAAGATGAAAATGTTTCAGATTAAAATGACCTTGTGCTATGATTGGTCAAATCTGGAATTTCATTGAATAAAATTTCACTGTGATGCTATGAAATTTGACCAATCATAGCACCAGGTCATTTTGATCTCGCGAAAGCAGCTCAAATTTTTTACTTTTGACGAGTTCACGCTAGGGAAGAAGATTCAGGCTAGAGTCCCTAAATGTAGAAAAAGTTGGCTACACTGTTGAGGCCTACTTCCGCTTTCCGGTCCGTTCTCAGCCTTTCTATTGTAGAGTTTGCGGGTAGGAGACGTGGTTTTCTCGTGATCGGATTTCATCCGCGTTTTCTTCTAGAAATTCTCAGGAGAAACTACCAAGATGCCTCCTAAATTTGATCCCAATGAAATAAAGAAAGGTATTTCATTTATATTTTCTTGTGTAACAGAGGTAGAAACTTTTGTAATTTCCTAACCTAGAGAAATATGTTAAATTTCTCGTCTTTTTTTTTACACAGTATTTTTGCGATGCGTTGGTGGTGAGGTAGGAGCTACTTCATCCCTTGCCCCTAAAATCGGTCCTCTTGGTTTGGTGAGTTCAGAAATTATTTAATTTGTATGTTTTCTTTCCAAGTCTAGAAAATGGATTAATTTCAAATTGATTAAAAAGATATAGTCGGCCATGTATAGTAAAGAAGCATTGCGTATGTCTTGATGACTGACAAATAATGTCTCTATTTCAGTCCCCGAAGAAAGTTGGCGATGACATTGCCAAGGCTACCAGTGATTGGAAAGGTTTGAAGATCACAGTCCAGCTGACTATTCAGAACAGACAAGCTACAATCTCGGTCGTGCCGTCCGCTGCTTCCTTGATAATCAAAGCTCTCAAAGAGCCACCCAGGGACCGCAAGAGGCAAAAGAATATCAAGCACAGTGGTAATCTGACGTTCGACGATATCGTTTCCATTGCCCGTGCCATGAGATCGAGATCGATGTCGCGAACGCTGGGCGGTACCGTCAAAGAAATATTGGGTACCTGCCAGTCGGTGGGATGCACCGTGGAAGGCAGACCACCCCATGATCTCATAGACGACATCAACGCCGGAGAACTGGAAGTTCCGGAGGAGTAATTGTTGGTAGGTACAGGGCTCTCGGTTCGCGCTTTTCACTTTCGAATTATTTTAAAATTATCTTAACGTGTGCGTATATAATCCACACAATTATAAGATTTGCTATTGATGTAATCTTGAAGTTATTCTCATGTTTTAACTTGCACGGTCCAAGTGAAAAGTGTTGACTTTGAGCTCTTGGTAGGGGTTGGCATCCCATCCACCTGTCTAACACTGACCACATTGAATGATGTGTCGTGTGCTAGCAGGCATCTAGCCATTGGGGAGACAACCTCAATAAAAAATCATGTGTAAAATGAAATTTTCATTTTCTTTCCGCAACATAGAAATGTGTGTGTGTCACTAAGTATCTCGTATTTTATATTTTTACAGATTTTGTAAGGCGCGGACAATAAAAAAAAATACCTTAAAACGGAATTGAATGCGTTGCAATTTCCTTATGCTATGTATAGTGCCTTATCCATTTTTATTTTTTAAGTACACATAATACACAATTGTATTAGCGTTAAATTGAGCATGATCGAGGCTCTATCCCAAAATATTTCGCAGATTTACAAGCGATTCTTCATAAACTTAATAACATGAGAGTGTTAGAAAGTTGATTAATCTGCAAACATTTTTCTTGTTGGAATTTCTGCAATATAATGTATTCAAATTTTATACATTTACATAGTTGAAACGCTCCATAGATATACATTTTTCCTTCAATCATATACCCCACCTCTACTATTAAATATAAAAATGTCTGGAAAACAATATTTACAAGTTTACTAATAAACATACGTTCAGTAAATGTAATTAACGGTCAGTTAAGCAACTTGGAAAAAAAAGATTATAATAATTCCTATGAGAAACTCGCAAACGATGTATTTACATGCCCTAAACATTACATAAAATATTTCTGCTGCTTCTCACAATGATTTCAGAAAGTTGCGTGAGAGAGTAAGAATTTCTTTGTAATTTTATATATTTATAATATACATACTTTTTATTTGCTATATTGTACCAAAGTGCACATGTTGAACTCACTGCAGTTATCAAAATTACACAAAGAGACATTTGGAAGAGTCGGTAACGTAGAAATGACTACTCCTGTACAGCAATCGTAAACGGCGGAACGGATATGATAAAATAAGAAATTTCTTATCGAAGTTTACGAGCTTCCCTTCTCGATCTTAAAAATTATTGACCCAGTACATGACCTCTGCCCCAGTTGTGGCCCCCAAATATATTCCTCCCTTGAACGTTCTGCTGCTCTCCCGCTGGTCTCGGCGCGGGTACATTCCCAAACGATCGAATCCCACTTCTCTGAGGTGGAAAGTAGCTCTCGAGTATCTTGGGTGTGTTGAGCAGTTCCGGACCGCCGAGCTCCTGAGGGTACTTGAATTTCAAGAAGACGTACAGGTGCCCCACCAGAATCCCAAATAATTCCATCATTCCGCCGCCGGAGATGATCAAGTTGAATCCAAACAGCACCCACGGCAGATACATGGCTTTGAATTGCGTGCCTGGCGACAAATTTTTTCCCAACGTAACATACACTGTTTACAGCAACGACGAGACTGTCGTCATGCGGAATCATAAGCGAGGGGTGCGTTGGAGAGCTACTTGGCGCTGAAAACGTCATTCTACCCTTGCTGCTTATTATGCGTCGAAGAAGGGTAGAACGACGTAGTGCCGATAGCACTCGTACACACCCGAAGAAAGGTGCGAGGCGTACCAAACCAGAAATTGACCACGGCGTCCTTATTCAGCTGACACCAGACGTACAACACGCTGAGCACCATGGGGTCCATGAGCAGGGAGAAGTCGCCGATGAGCCCGAAGATGACGCAGCATATCCAGTTGAACAGCAGGAGGAAGCAGTAATCCGCGGGCTTGCCGTCGTACTCCCCGCGCTCAAGTCTCAACGAGTAATTGTAGAGGAAGTAGCAGTTGATTAGGAAGTGAAATCCGGTGCCGTGGCTGAGGGGATAGTAGAAGACGCTCGTCGCCGCCCGCCAGATTTCGAAGTTGTTGAGAAATCGGTCGGGCCAGAGTATCAGCAAGTGCGGGCTGAGGATACCGAATCTGCCGAGTAACGTCAACACCGCGGTGCACAGTAACCAATACCTCGTGAATATCGGCAGGGAGTTGAACCAGTCTCTCACGTCTGACATTTTGCGCGACTGCCTCTACGATGCCGCCGACCAATTAACCGCGAATCGCAGCCGACGAGCGCGGAGCGTGCGATGTGCGTGGATACGACGTCCGCGACAGGTGTCTCTTTCAGGTTACGTGTACGCACGGCATAGGCGTATAGGTTAGACCTCGGAAGCGCGGCCGCGCGTGCGCGCGCTATCCTGCTGACGGTGTGCGCTGTCACCTAACCTAGTTCATTGTTTATTTGGCTTTTATTCAGTTAAGTAACATGAGTATACATCCGTTGAGTATCAATTTGGTGAAGAGCGACAGTAAAGGCGACAGATTATTATTCCGGTATCCACACATGACTAATCATGTGGGGGATTCGAGTCAGTGCACGAAACGAAAGACTCCTTATTCGATGGTCATCACCGAGGATTTATTGCAGGTCCTAATTTTCTTCTATTTTTCTCTCTATTTATACTAATTTCTTGTATTTCGTTCGACAGCCTTTGCCATTTCTGTCGTCAAACATAAGTAATGGAAACCTGACTGGCTTAACGGATGAAGTTCTCTCCACTTTATTTGCCGTAAAGCCAGAATTGTGCGAGCAGAAGTTTGAATTGAAGATAAACGATGTTCGCTTTATTGGGCACCCGACTTTGGTTCCATCCCGTGGCTTGAAGGAAATAAACTCTTCTATGCTTTTCAATATAGTCTTTACGCTGCAAGCACAAGCGAGTCACTCGATAGTAAAGTGTTACTACGATCTAAGCAAAAGGTAAGAAAATGTAACTTCGACGTGTGCGCACAAAGTGTTTACAAGTATTTTAATATGTTTGGATAAATGAGAGCGTTTTCATGTATTTAGATTGGGCATAGCATTGAGACATGAAGAAAAGAGATGCGGTTTTCTCACGGACGAAATAAAGATAATGGTATCGACACACGATGAGATTGCTGGAAGGTGGGCAAAATAACTGTTTCTTCTTTTTTTTATAAGAGCGTATCAAGAGCATGTAAAGTATATAGATCACAAAGATTTGCGATTGAATTTGGGTGTTGAAAATCTGCTATCTCGTATTAGAGACCTGTCTCATAATAGAGGACTTTCCTCTGCTTTTAGGTCCGAAGGTGAAAGCGATTGCGATGAATCGCCATACGAGTTAATCCTTCAAAGAAGCTCATTGGCACGTGGTTTAAAGTCCGCGTTTAGTTATCTTAGCTCTTCTGGCATAGTCAGTATCTCAGTTAACAAGTGGATCCAAATACGTTTCTGTCTTCCGCAAAAGGTGCATCAGTCGCATAAAAAAGGACTACTTGTCGACCCTGAAACTATAGACAGGTTTGTTAAGTAACGTTGTTACACAAGTACGAAACCATGTGTAAAATATATCCGTGCAAACGGAAGGAATTTTAATGTAATACTTGAGAAAATTTTATTTTTATCTCTTTACAAAAAATGATAATATTAAAAGCCTTGTATGCGAAACTTCTCAATAATTACTTACACAAGTATGTATTTACATTTATTAAAATCTCTTATTAGAGATAAAATTGTGTTATTTTCAATCCTGAGTTTCGATACCGGTGGGTACTCCTGATGCACTACACTTTCAATTGCACTATATATATTCATGGTTCACTTAAAAAATATATTTACAACATTGTATCTGTTTCGCAGGTGTTTGAACAGTTTAAGACCTTATCATGGCATACTCTTGTTAACTGAGCCTTTGGACTTGTTAGAATCTTTGCAAATAGATTGCTCTCCGGCACTTAAGCGTTTGATACAGATGTACAATCCACTGAAAAGTTTGCAAACTTTAGCCGCAGATTCGGATCTGACACTCGCACAGGTGTTTCAGCTAGTTGGTCATTTAGTTTACTGGGCAAAGGCTACAATAATTTATCCAGTTTGCGAAAGCAACGTTTATGTTGTCTCCCCCGATGCTGTTTTGACTAGCCAGTTGCTAGATTCTTTCTCCGAACACTTCCCAGGAGTTTACTTACTTCAGGTATATGCGCCACAGTTGTTTTCATTCTCTAGTTTTGCATCTATTTATATTACATACTAATTTTAATCTTCTAAGTCCTTTTTTACTTTAAAATGAATAACACGTAATGTAAATAAAATTCAATTATTGAATCACTGATAAGAAAGACTTTGTAAATATTGTATTTTATATGTTTTCAGATAATCAATGATTTCTCGCTACCAACTTCCATTAGTCAAAAGCTGAATCCTTTGAGTCAGCCGCAACAGCAAACGCAATTAGTAAAGATAATCATATGGCTATTAAAAAATCATTTGCTTCTACAGTTGCACACATATGTACGATGTGTGCCGACAGTGTATGGCCGTTTATCATTGGTAAGTTACAACGCGTATAATTTACTAGTAAAATATAAATAGCTTATAATTGATTGTTTGATCGCGTGCAATCGTTGCGAAGAAAGATTTGTGATTGAATTTGGGTGTTGAAAACCTGCTATCTCATATTAGAAGCCTATCTAATAGAGGACTTTCCTCTACATACATATATTTCACTCTCATAATCAGTAAGCTTCGTTTTACGTTTTTTTTTACTTGTATTTAATATCAGGATATACAGGACCAGCAAACGCATGATATAAGTGCGAGGATAGAAGAAAGTGAAAGCACATGGAGTTTAATTGAAACGCCAAAAGGAACGCCTACTGAAATCAAAGAGGAGTTATCGCTCACAGATAAGGAGGATGCATTATACGATTATCAATCGGAAGATTACGATATTCCTTCTGATGATAGAAAATTACTAGATAGACTATGCCGTCTCGGCTATTTCGACGGAGATTATCACTTGGAGGAAATTATGTATCTAGAAAATATTCGTAGATCCCAGCTGTTACAACTTCTGGATAAATTTCGAGATGTATTAATGACCTCCGAGTCCGAAGATCCCGCCATAGCACTCTTTTATAGTAGATTGGGTACTTGATTTTAATTGTAAATAATGATTATATTTTAGGCGAATCGATTCTTTTTTTCGATTAAAAGATGCCACAAACACAATTTGTATAATTTTAATTACAGCTTAGCTATAATGCATAAAGTTTACCTCATGAGATTATAATTTTAGAAATGTTTTCAAATAAAGGACATGTTCACTGTTCTTCATGCCATCACCTCAACCTGTTACAAGAGCTTGGAAATATTTAAAACTGTCAACAAATTGTTTTTTACTTTTTTGCGTTTTTCACTATTTTTTAATCTAGAAAACTTATTTAGACGTTCCTCGTTTTGTTGTTTTTGCATATCTTTTACATATATACATTTTACATAACTTTGTTTTATAGATAAGTTACCAGGCATTTGTTTTTATATCTGCTTGGATCAGAAAACTTTATATATATGTTACAAAACATTTTATTTATCCATTCTCTTACAAAATTCACAATAAAAGTCACAAGACTTTTATTTAACGTGCTTATTCTATGGGTAGTAATCTGCATTACACTAGAAGAAATGGAATAATGCTAAGAGTTGATGCTATATCACTATTTCGTGATATTTTCAATGTAGTTTTACCGATCCTTGAGCTGCTGTAGAAATTTTTCTTTCGTGTTTGTATGTATATGTATGTGCACGGTCTGTCGCAAAAACAACCGAACTTTTTAAAATGCATTAAAAGATTTTCTATGTTCTTTTGTGAAACGTTTTGATACTCCTTGGCCTTTTAGATGGCTGGAAGAGTGGAACGCTTTCATAGATATTTGGAGCCGTAAAAACGGAAAGTAATTACACGATAAACCGACGAATACGATGCAAATCCGGTTAATAGTGTAACAAAGTAATTTGTTTTTGTGCTAAAAAAAGTATTAAATCTGTTTTGTTATTTTTAAAAAGTTCGATTATTTTTGCGACAGACCGTGTATGTATGTGTGTACGCGTAACTTCAGCAGGAAAATTAATTATAGATTTTTGGACCTATCATACATATTCATATAAATATGAAAGTTTTTCTCTTGCTTCTTAAGTCGGAAGCGACTATCTGTCGACTCAAGATATACATAACATGCTAAAGATTAATTTTGCAATAAATAATGCGAATATCATTGCAAAGTTTCATACAATATTATCAAATATAAATCAAATATAAATGAGCTTTAAGTTTTTATAATAAACATATATAAAATATTTTATGAAAGATTAGTGGCAAAAACAATTTGAAAGAAAAAAAAAGATAATTATATATACTTAACGCGATTAGTATACTACATAGAGGATATGACCGTCTCCAGATTAATCTTCAGTTACTGCAGTACATATGTATCAAGATTTTCTTATTAGAGATTATAAAACGATCAACAGCACTAGCATGACTAGAGTTTTAGGATGACGATAATTATATAAAATATTTTGATAAATCAACACAGGCCTAAATCGAAGAAATATATGGACGTAATATGCGTTTTCAAAATGTTTTGATGCTGCAACGTTTTAAAAAAAGCGAATAATCATACTTTCGAATAATGAACGCGATTCGAAAAGAATATAATCAAAATGAAGATAACTCGTTTTATTTCTACAGACAAATGTAAAAGAATATATTTTATAAATTCGATCCCTAATCGATACCTAATTAGATACCTAAAAAAGATATCTAATCGACTATCAAGACTTTACAGCCTTGTGTCCGTAATGCTAGATTCCGGCCCGAGAAATGTATACCAATTGCCGTTTTTCCATTTAAAAGTTGCAAGTTGATTGACTATACATTTCTTGGATTGAGGACTCGGATCAAGGTTTAGCATCTTGGACACAAAGTTTAAGACGAGATAACATTGCATTTTACGCATTGCATAGTACTGAATAAAATATTTCAAATGTTCTCTACCTCTCTCATCTTTATACTTTATTATCAGTCACATGTAATTATTTATTTATTCCTATTTCATATTATATCCAACTTGTTAATTGTCGATGCAATTAACACGATTAGGCTCGAATGTAACAGCTTCTTCGTTAAGATTAGATCTATCTAAATCATCATACTGCACTGATATAACGTTCTATCTTTCTAGCGAAACTTACTTTTAACATTGTAAGTTCGTAAGTACACTCGTGAACGTAATAATCTTGAGACATAAGCATCCCGCTCGTCAATTCCTTGTTTTCTTATCATTTTACAAATTACAAACTTTGTCATAGTTTTTGCCTTGGATAGTTCTGTACTTTGCTCTTTAACTTCTTCAAGGCGCATTTAGCTGCTGTACATTTTGCGATTCTGTAATTTCGTCCGATTCCTTTAAAGGAACCTTTACCAAACACGTCTACAGTCACTCGAACTCTACGGCCATCAGCCAATTTCTCAGGCCTGCCGAATTTTGCCGTTTCAGGTTCTAATTCCAATAATTCGCGGATTGGAGATTTAGGAACATTTGTGCTAAATTGTTCTGCAAGTACACAATATCTTTTTAATAAATTGCCCATGCAATGTAAATCCTGTCATTACCGATGTACTTACCAATTTCTGACTTCATTATCGTGTAGTAAACACTCCACACCGCATCGAGAGACATTCCGCTATCCAAGTAAATAGCGCCGGCTAATGACTCGAAAACATCACCTAGTGCCTTTGGAACTTCTACATCCTCAGCTTCCTCACATTCCTCCTCGCCAATCAAATAATACTGAAACATACGATACATTCATTACCGTCACATTTATAAATTTATATTTCTTAGCATAACGTGCCTCCATATACAGTTGAACACAAAATCCATCTACAATTGTTCTTTATCTAAAAAAAAAGATTTTCCACAGATTCTTGCTGACTGTATCACGTCGACTTTAATAATAATACTCGTAATCATAATCACGATGATGATGTTGACGATCATGATAATTAATAACGACGATAATCAATAATAATTCTTTGTACCTCTTCGCTAATTGAATGTCCATTTTCTTCCTGTATTCTGACAAAGCGATTTATCACTACACTTAACCCAGGAGAGAGATGACGGAAATATTTATGAAAACCACATCTCACAGCTAAAGAAGCAAATATCGTATTATTAACTAATGCGGATCTTAAATCTGTTAAAGCGCCTGGCGAATGTTGCCGAGAGTCCTCGTATAAATGTCTAGTTATTAAATAATCTGAAATGCAAAAGATATAATTTTGATAATTACAAATAATTATCGTAATTTGATAATAAAGCTTAATTGACAAGAGATTTACCTAGTACAGCGTCGCCAAGAAATTCTAAACGTTGATAACAATCCGTCAATCTATTTGGCTGATAAGAGGCATGCGTAAATGCTTGCAAAAGATAACTGTTGTCACGAAATTTATATCCTATACTGTTTTCTAAGTCTTCGTATCCGTCGAGCATCATACACAACTCGCTCTCTGGATCAGGAATGTAACGGAGCAATGGATTTTGCGGTTCTTCCAACTTTCCGTAACGAATCTAAAAGTTTTTAGATATAGAATCAAAGGCTATTATAGATACTCAAATGTTAGAGAACAGTTTTCATATAAATGATTATTATAAATGCATATTATAATATCGCATGCACACACGGTGATTGTTTTCTGAAACTTCAAGTTTCAATTGGACATCCAAGCAATCGAGATAGAAATCTCCGTTAAAATAATTAAAACTCTGTTATAGTACGATCCATCATGTTGAAATTACATCACGACAAACGTTCCGGAATCCCCTTCATAGATTATCATTATGTCTTCGATGAATTCCAAAGAGCTTAGATTTTTTAGAGAGTCCAAACGAGAGAATCTAGAATAGCTATCCAATCAATTACTCACTTGCGTCCAAGCAGTTTCACCATGTTCGTTAACTCCCTTTATGTATGGCGTACTACCGGGTATCCTTTTTTCCGGCTCGTTCTCGCTTATCGCGCAAATTTCTTCGGTGGGCAAAACGTGAATCCCTAGCCAAGTCATGAAGAGAAGCGCTCCACGAGGACCACACGCAATTAAATATGCCCCTATCAGTGCTTCTACGCAATCCGCGATACTTTTGTCTGGGATACTGTGCTGCGTAATTAAATTATAAGGTATGAAGCACCGCAAATTATCTAAATTGTTCGACAGTCTACTTTCGTTTTTATCTAGTTCACTCTTCATAATGACGAGTTTTTCCTCAGTCTCTTTAACGAGCTGAGTTATTTCGGTGGGATTCACAGCTTGCAAGGTAGGAATGTCGGCTTGATTCCACAGAGCGGAAGGAACGCCAGATTCGATCAATGCTTGCTCGAGTTCTTTGGGAACGTAATAACAAGGAGGTAGCCAATTGTCATGCGGCTCGAACTTGGTTGCTATCATGCTCTCGCCGAGCATTTTTTGCCTGCCAAGTCTATAAAGATTCAAATTGCTGACCTGAAAGAAAAGAATAAATAGCAATTTTACGAACATTTAAATAGATGGTCAGTAACGCACAATGTAAAATATAAAATACCTGTTTTGATCTCAAATGACTAAGCTTCCCCTCGTGAATATTGTCATACGTACAATACAAATACGTAGTTATTGCATACTTGAGAAACGAGTCGCCGATTGTCTCCAACCGCTCTAAATTAATGCCGTCGTTCGCGTTAGACATTGTTAAAGCCTGCAGGATCAGACTAGGACTTGGTCCTGAATGACCTCTTAATTCCGGCTGATAATCAAAACTAAACAGGCCGTCATTTAAATAATTTCTTTCATTTGGTTTGGCAATCTCTTTTTTTATCATGCGAGTAGTTTCAATGGATTTCTTATTTAATATCTCGTCAGTAAATCTTCTTACAATAGTTTCTATGTAGTCTTTATGCTTGTAATTCGGTTTTTCGGACTCAGTTTGGCAACTCGACGAGTTCCTTCTCTTAATCGTAATTTCAGAATTGCAAGATATGAAAGTACCATCGGTCATTATATCGTGTTCCTTTCTCTTGGCGAACTCATAATGCGCTTCCTTATGCTTTGCAAGCAATAACTCTTCGTCCTTTTCCGCGTACATCCAAAAATTATTATCGAAAGTCTTTTCCGTCTCTAAAAGATCCAAGATCTTTTTGTTAATCTCCTGCTTACATATTTGTTTCTCATCCTCCACAGCTTCGGCGATATTTTCCCCCATATAAGAAATCTTCAAGCCTCTACTTTCATCCTCACTTTCGTCAGACGTGTCGGCAAAGCCATCGCTATATATGTCATCTGACTCGTAACCATCCAAGTCGGATTCGTACGTTGGCGAACCGTATCGAATGTCATTCCAACCAAAATCTTGCGGCAAGACCGTCACATTTAGAGGAAACGAGTTCAGATTATCCTCATCATAATCCGTGGGACTCAACGTCAAGTCGTTTGACCATGCCATGTCGTTTGACCACGTGCCAATCTCCAGTTCATCATCCTTCCGCTCGTCAGCAATATCTTCTTCCGTCTCATCGGTTTGCGCATCGTTAGACACGAGCTCTGTGGGTTTTTCAATCTCGTTGCACGATACTGGTGATTTGTTATTCACGTCTTGCTCAGATATCGTGTTCTGACACTCGCTGCCGTCTGTATCGTTTAATGCCAAGTTGTCCTGTCCATTTTCACTTTTAATCTGTTTTGCTTTTTCCGTTTCCTTTGATCTTTTCAACACTTCTGCCAAGCTCCATCCAAAATCTAACGCCGGCCATTCGAAATCTAGAATATAATTTATCTAGGAGTAATCGATGAATGACTAATCTGGCACACTCGTGCCATTTTCAATTTTTATTCGTTACTGAATCGACAGACTGAAAGGAGTGTCTCCTCGAGATGTATATGGAAATTTTAAACGATCGCGATACCTGAATTCAAATTTTGTTGCCCTAAATTTATCATATGTGCAACTTGACATCGTATTTGATTAGCTAGCAACAAAGCGTTAATTCTATACAATATACAGGGCAAGCAGACCGCTTGTCTCCATAAGGACGCTGGAAAAGGATGAATAGCACATAATTCAGCAACAAGAATCTGTTTCTGCTCCAAGTTTTCTCTCTTGGCGCGTTTCGTTTCTTCGCTGCTTGTTGGCAACGCAACGCCTTTGCGATTTACATATCTAGAATAGATAAATTATTAGATTGTTACTTAAAAGATGGATGCTTTGATACATAGTTGCTTCACATGGGCCTCACCTAGGAGTTAAAAAGTTTAGTCGAGCTGATGTATGATCCACATCTAACAACGACTGCTCTAGATTTTGTATTTGTATACCGTATTTCTTCAAGTAATATTCTTCGAAAGTGCTATAGTCGTGGCCAGGAAAAGAAGACTTTGGATTTAAGTTTGTGCATATTTCCGCTACATAGAAGTACTGAAGGAGGGGAAAAAGGAAAAAGTACCGCGAGAGATCATAAAATACACAAGCTTTACATTTCAATATATTTAATGTATACTTGACTATATGAATTTACCTGCGGCTGATCTTGACTTCTGTACCACGGCATGATTACAGCGTCATAATATTTGGATGGATCGAATACAAAATTTTTCCTATCTTCTTCTGGAACCTTAGTTGGCACTGCATTTCGATTCTGATAAATGCATTCCAAAAAATTCCAATCCACGCTAACATCTGACCCTTCGTACGTCGTAACTAAAAAGTTCAGTTTCACAGTAAATATTAAACTCTACAAAGATAGAGAAAATAAGAAAGATGGAAAATTATCGGCTTTAATAACAATTTTCTAGACTTTACCTAAACAGCTAAAGTTTCAAATTTGCATCGTTCCGTTTTCTAGTACACTTACACACTTATATATACTCACATATTTTTACTGGTACAATTATATATGAATTTTCGGAAGCGTTTGGATCAAAGAGCATTAGATATTTCTGTAATCTCAGAACGTTTGTAAAGGTATAATTAAGGAAAGTATCGACTCTTTCTATCTGAACATCATCCAGGATTACAGTCTCCTTACTAAGTTTTAATTGCACGTGAACTTCGCCTGATCTAGTATAAATAGGGAACGGACACAACTGTAAAAAGAAAGTAAACTACGTAAAACACATATGTATATTAGAAGAATAATCAATTTATCGAGTAAATAACACGAAAAGTACAAAAGATAAAGTTGGGAGCTCGGAACAGTGGAATATACGAAATTATCACCTTAGGTATCTCCTTCAACGTAAGTATGCCAAATCCAATGGCCGATTCTTCAGGGGGATAAATTCGTCTACCTCGCGTATTTTGTTCCTCTGGCAAAGGACAACTTAGTACCATATTAATGTGATATAAATAAGATGGTACTCCCACTATTGGTCTACAATCCGTTAGTGCTTCAGCTGTCTGGATAGAAGAATGCAAATTTTAAATAAGCGCTCACTCGGCTACGGGAAAGAATACATGAAAAACTAGCAGAAACCTTTTTATAGTAATATTGTCTCCGTTTTGTCGTTCCCGGTCTAGCTTCCGAAAAGTCAACTCTGCTCTCATCTGGCAAAGCCGGTACTTCTGCATCTTCAGGCTTGGCTTTGAAATTTTCCTTTCCAATAGGTAACAAATTATCGTCTATCTCGTTTCCTCGATGTAGATCGATGCACATTTGCAGGGCAGCCATACGTCTAGCCATCGCTCTATTCGGCATAGGATATGACTAAGACGCGAAAGAAAGAGCCGAGATATTATAAAGAATATAAATCGTATATATAAACAATTACAGGATATTTCTCAAAATTGCTGGAAGGTCTTTATTACTTATGTGACATTAAAAATCCAAAAAGTATGATCTGTTCCACTAACAATAAAATCATCTTTAAATAGATCAAATAAGCTATGGCTAAAAGTACATCTAATATCTTAATATCTTTTATGTTCCAATGTATGTACAGCTATTTACCGTAACTACATATTTCAACGGTGAATTTATAGGAAGTCGTAGGAAACAGATATACTTAATCACATCGTGGACATCCACTGTTTCGATACACCACTCTGGTGTTAATCTCGTGAAAGTATCGCTAGGTAATTTCGCACAATACCTGCATGATTTAAAACATTAATATTAGCAATCGGACATTTTAAACGACACTTTTACCGTTCTTTTTACCAAATATTAGTAAAATATAAAACATTATGTTACCTATTAACTAATGAAATGGCAGAATTAAAAGTTACTTTGGGAGCGTCATCACCATCGAGCGGTTTGTAATGTGGTATCATTGCAGCATACATGTCTGCTTCATTCTCTTCGTTCTCAGTTAGCTCTTTATTAGAACATTTTAATAATAAAGTCTACAAAATAGATTGGTGCTCTTCCATTATAATTTTCGACTGAGGTTGGCACAGATAATGAACCACATTAAAGGTTGATAATAAAACTGGTACGCACTGAAGTTCATGAATAAATCAAATAAAACGTATGCAATACTACGACTTGGAAAGATAGACCCGAAATTAATTAAGATTCCCCTTTTCTCTCACTTCAGCTATACTGCAAATTGCAACAGCAGACGCGAGAGATCATACGAGTCATTTTCTTGCATTCTGATGTCGAAATGAATTATTTCTGTTTTTTTGGCATCACACAATTTGATAGTGTTATTAGATTTAATTATATAATATCAAAGATTTCTTTGTGACTTAACAAACAGTTCAAAATCATCAATTGTTATATCGATTACGAGACACATCTCTTTTCAGGAAAAATAAGATCTAGAAGTGTAAAATACATATAGACTAAATTATATGTGTATTCACGTGTACGCAACATAACAAAACAAGAAAGGGAGTACTTAAAATATTTAACCAATTTATACTATTAAGCGCAAATAAATACAAAGAAAGAAACTAATTTAATTTGAACATATACTGTAGCAAGAAACAAATCGTACATTTTCTCGATTGCGATGTTATAATTCGATATAACTGCATTGAGATAATCGGAGCCTTACAAGACACTAAAACTTTATTGAAGGTGGATTATAATCTACTGAGTATTGCAAGTTATACCTTTTCTATATATTGATATTGAGCTAACTGCCATATAAAGTCTTTAGATGTTTCTTGTGGCACTAATAATACATGCAAGGCATCCATGGCTCTTGCTCTACTCTTGCATTGTATGTATGACTGATAATTCTTCGGAAAGTCATACCTCATCACAAAATTGCATTTTGGAATATCAATACCTGTAAAACACATCGAGAAATATTTGTCATGGCTGATATACAGATAGATATTTTCAAAAAAATATCTAAAAATACAAAATCAAACATATATTGGTATAGATTTCTCTCTTTGATCTACGTATTTTAAAAGTAAAACTCATTTTTTTGGAAAAATCTAAAAATATCCAATATAAATAACAGCAAGTTTTAATAAACCTTCTTCCAAGATTGAAGTTGCGATCAACAAGTTGCATTCGTGAATCCTAAATCGCTTCAGGACTTCTTCCTGCTTCCGATGTTCCAATTCTAAATCTCTCGAATAACCAACTTCGTCAATGCTTCTTTCAATTGTATAAAGAGGCGATAAAAAGTGCAAATCTTCGTCGTGCTTACATATTTCCTGTAAGCAATTCGCATTTAAAAATTAGCTGTAATTTGTTATCTTGTAATTATAGTAATGTGATTTATACACATACACTTAATAAATAAAATAAGACTTTAGCTGTAAATCCTTTATCCACAAAAATTACTCCACAGAGTAGATCAGGGTCTGTACCACTACAGGGATAACGTTGTGATCTGAACGCCTTTTTGTAATTGTCATCATTAGACTTCCAATTACCACCAAACCTTTTCAACTGTACAGGTTTTTCCTGAGTTCTCGAGAAAGAAGTGTTTTTGTCACTTTTTGTGACACAATTCTTTGAATTGTTATCTAAAAAAATACAATGTAATTATAAATGCACATAAAAATATATGATTGTATGCCCGTCATACACGTCTTATAAAAATTGAGAAAGATTCTTACCAGCACTTGCCTTTTTCTCCGGGGTGTTAATCTCTTTAGTATAAAAAGGTGTATAAATTTTTAAGATTTCCAGTAGTCGATGAACTTTCGGAGTACTATATTGATATATTCTTTCCTTCTCGGATAAATGTTGAAAATCATTATCACAAAGGGCACTGTGGTGCGAAATTCACGTTAAATGATGCAATGTCTTAAACTTGTGAGCGCTTATCAATAGCACGTAGATAGTGACACCGTCGTCGTCGTCGCAACACTTACCGTATTTTTATGAAAACAGATGTCATCATATTTAATAAAAGATAATGCCTTTCATAAGGAGTTTTGATTTTCAATTTTTCCGTTAAAAATAGTAACGTTAGAGCGGCGCGATCCGCACACCATGGTCCAAGAGTTTCTAGTATATGCAAAAAATCTTGCATCATCTCAAACGGCTTTTGTATGGGATCGGGGATTTTTTGAATATCCTCGTAAAATTCTTCGGTATAAATCTCCATTGGGTCGTACCGATGATCGCGTAAAAATTCAATGGCATGTAGCACGCAATCTTTAAGCGTATTATACAAGTCTTTCTTTTCTCCTCTATCGTACTCCACGACATACTCTCTTGGTTTTGGGCTATAACTACATATAACAATAATTCTCACACGGTGGATTTGCAAGAGAGAACAATGTTAGACAGTAAATTACTCGAAACTTACCGTATTATCGAAAGAATATCATTAGCGGTTTCTACTTCACACTGAAAGGCAGCCTCTACTTTTTCTATCTCTAACCCTAATCTTCCAGGTTCTTGCGTCAAATTAAACACTGGTACCGCTAGCCCGATTATCCTAGGAACACTGCTGCACAATAGAAAAGTTTGAAGAACAAACTTTAGACTGCTATCTTCGATAGACTTATGGCACTCGTCTACTATGACTAGATTTATGTGACACGGCAAAAGTTTCTTTTCCGATATTAGTTGTGCGTAGATTTTTGATGTTCCAACTAATACCTACATAATAAAATGTGAAATAAGAAAATGTCCCCAACAGATTTTCTTTTTCTTTTCAAAATACATACAGAGGAAAGTTCTCTATTACGAGAGAGGACTCTAATATGAGACGGCAGGTTTGTAACATGAAAACTTAATCACAGATCTTTATTCGCAACGATCTAACAATAAATATTCTGCTAAATGGATTTCACTTTAAGGGCAATAAATTGACGATGAAACCAACAGACGATGCTTGTTTAGAAAAAAAACTCCGCTATCTCATAGCTTATCTCATAATAGGGAACTTATGTATACGCTTGCATAATAAGTGAGTATTGTTCTTACGTGAGAACTTTGAAAACTTTTGTCAAACCCCTCAAGTACACCAGAGTCACATGTTAATACTTTCAGATCTGTCAATTGTTTTATATAAGTTCCTATTATTGTAGACTTATCTTCGTCGTTTAATATATACATTGCCCGCTTTCCACCATCGCTTACTGTTCTGTGTGCAAATAGAAAGAAAGACTTGAGTATGCTTAAATCTGCTTTCGTAATCGAATATTAAATTCAGACTTGAAAAGTACTTTATGTAAAACAATGCACAACTTTTACGTAACATCCGCACATCTCTGTGCAAGGATCGAATCCTTATACGGAGTGCAAGGTCAAATGTAGGTATACTTGGACAATAACTCTATATAATATAATCTGCTGAGGCAAACGGAAACGTTTCGTTGTCATTCCATTACCTTCTATTGTTCGTAGCAAATTCTTGGATCAACTTTATTGAAAGAAAGGTTTGCTCGGAATTTTTTCCCAAACAGACAATTATGTCCTTTTCTTTCGCTGCATAAAAAAGCTCTACCTACAAACAAACGTGTACAAAATATATGAGTGCAATCGTGCATCTCTCTCTCAAGTTCGTGCCCAGATAATTTACCTCATACTCCCTGGGAGTAAAGGATTTTGTGTAGACCTGGTCATTTAGTGGAAATGCCATGGAATCTACGACTTGTTTATAATTATTACTCTCAATAATAAAATAACAGTTTTCCGATAATAATCAAACAATTTTTCACCATTCAGTAATAATGATAAAAGCCGCGAAAGCACAATACCATACTTGAGGTGTCTGTTGTCGGATGATTACACTTGCGTTTAAAACTTAAGATTATGCTAGGTTAGACCAGAGAGAAGCCTCAAGAGCTGCCACGGGCCGGGGTTTTAGGCGATCCTCGAAGTACGGTACGCCCTCGGCGGCATTAGAAAACGTGGACGTCAACTACGTAGCCAACGTCCATTTGCCAAGTCGGTAACGCAGATTTGCGCAACGTTGGTCGCGTCCCGCGTGCTCCCGCGCTACGGTCAGCTGCAATCATCTTGTACTGAAAATAATCGTAAGCATCGCATTGTAACTTACGGTGCTCTGAATTTTACCTGAGCCTGGTCCTTGAATATGAACTGCTCCGGAATTTGGTCAGACGTGGCCGAATTAAAGTAAAGTTCAAAGGCGTTACTTTTATTACAGGTACAATTTAACTATACACTTAATAAGCACCTCGCGATGAGTAGGTATACTCGGACACTTGAGTATCAAAGCTCTCGATATTTCAGACTGTGACTCTCACGCTACGATTACTTAACTTATTCGTACCGCTTCCCGAAAGAGAGTGCCTTCGCTTTTCAATCCGACGGCGCGCGTGCCGTTAGGAAATCGGTAAGCACGCGTCTAGCGCGTGCTAACGCGCCTTTCGGGGAGCTTTACAGGGCCGTCCTGTATCAGGGCCGGCTCATCGTCTCGCGCCTTATACAGCATCGTACGACATGTCGTATTCTTTCTTGCAACGCGCTCGCGACAAGTACAGAAAGAAACCGCGATCGCTCCTTGCCGAGTATCGGTTAACCGACGAGACAAATATCTCGCGCGATTCGCACACGAGATCGGTGAGTCTATTCTGTATTTTACAACGTAGTAAAAAGTGCCGAGAGAGAGCGAGCTTTGTGTCCCTTTCTAAGGGGACAGTGACTTGTTTACATCGAGCGTCGTCGACCGAGCGGCGAATTCCACGAAATGACGTCGCGCTATAAAAACATAAACAACTCGGTCGCCGAGCGGCGTTTCCGAGAAATGACGTAGCGCCGTCAACACAGCGGTCAAAAAACGGTGTACCGGCTCATTCGGTGCGAGTCAGCCGAGCGGTACGGGTGTCCCGCGTGCCTTCGCGTCGCATTTTCACTCCAACTGGCAATACGAGTGCCGCGGACGGTTCGATGTGCACAATCGTGTGACTAACGCCTCCGTTTCTCGAGCGCACGCTTCGAGATACGTGAAGCGGACCGCGCTGAATCGCCGTCTAGCGTCCGCGCTCGCTTCCTCCGACGTGAATTCCGTAGAGGAAAGCCGCGAGTTTGTGTGGCGCGCGTGTGTGTGTGCCGAGTGTTTATCGCTAAAAAAGATGTGAATTTACGCGTTTACTCGAGACAAATCGCGCGAGCGATATTAAAGTGATGCTCGCGTCGCGTCGGTGACTCGACTCGCGTAGTACCGCGCAGTAGCGCCGGGGTTGCCGGTTACCGGCGCCATGTTGCTTCGTTCGAGAAGGATCGCGGAGCGCCGCGGACACGCAGCGGGCCGGTCTCCCGCGCCGACGGTCGTCGCTACGGCATTTCGCGACGGTGGTGAGTAACGCTAGTCAGGTTGAGCAATCGCGGCGCATATTATTTGACAGCCGCGCGTCGGCGATCTACCGAGACGCGTGAATCTCGCGAGATACGCCGGCCGGGATCGCGGCGACGCCGCGGGTATCCGAGCTTCGGTTTCACCTCGCGTCTCCTCGCACGCGTGGAAATACCCGGCTTTTCCACGCGTCACGCGCGGCGAGAGAAATGCTCGTGCGAGATCGCCCCGTCGATCGCGAGAGACGCGTCAAGCCTCGCGTGCTTCCCTGTCCCCGCGCCGGAACGTTCCCGCCGTTTCACGTGACGCCATCGTGGCGGCTCGCGTTTCCGCGTCCGATCGTCCCGGTCAGAAGTGAATCGTCGATCGACAAATTACTTCTCGCCGAGAATGGCATAGTGCTCGCGCCGATTAATACCGGGAGTGCCGTGTCGCGAGTGCCAGTGCTAATTGGAGGAGTCTGAGAGGAGGCGGCGGCCTGGAAGGCATCGGGCGCCAGCGGAGCAACTTTAAGGTAAATGTTATTTGCCATTTTGCGTGAAACTAATCTTTTTTTCTAGCTTAATTTTGAGTCGTATTACGTAACTATAATTTCGAAATAATAACTGGGGAACAAGGAATAATTTAAAATCTTACAAAAGTTTATTTTCGTGAAGATTTTTGCAAAAAATATTTCGCGCGTTAATTATTTCAACATCTAATCGAATAAAAAATTTGATACGCATAAGAATGACTTGTATTTTGCCTTATTCGATTGCTTGAACACTGCTTTAATAAATTATATATTTTTCTGTTACAGAATCAACAGATAACTCCGCTCCTACGTATCGGTGAGTGACTTTTTTACTCTTTCTTTTTTCTGTGTCCACGTAATTTATTTTGTATGTGTATCTCGCGATACACTTTCAAGATGCGTCTCGCATGAATACATGCAAAGCTACGCATCTTCATATTTTCGCGGTCGGTCTTCGCGATTAAATTTTCAAAAAATTTTCCAGAAATTATCAAGTGTTTAACTTCATTCATATAATAAATTTTAATTAGTCGCGGAATGTAATTAAATTTCTAGCGAAGTAAATTGTTTTTTCTTGTATTTTTAATTTAAAGATTGAGTCACGAAGATATAGTCATTATTTATCCTCTAATAAATAACGAAAGTAAAAATATATTTGATGAGTTTTATACCGAAAATTTCCTTATTAAAATTTTCTTCTTTGATTAATTTCTCGTGCTCGTGTATTTCGATCGACGCTCGCACATTATAGTTCGAACCGTACGAAATGTCTGTCGGTGTCGATAATGAATCGACTGTGGAAGGAGTTTTCTTCCTTCCCGATCTCTGGTCAAAATGACCGGACTGTATGGCCAGGAGCAATGAAACGTAGCTCCAATCTGGCCCGATGACACTGTAAGTGGTTAATATTGGCCACTTTGATGATATACATATGTATAAAGTAAGGTGATGTAAAAAATAAGTCGATTTCTTCTTATTTGTGAAAATTCGGGTGGGTTATATTGTTAACTTCTGTATATTTCTCGCATATGTGCGAGATTAGAAAGACCCCTATTAAATCCCTATCGTGCGCGTATAACCCCAAATCGGATCGCGTCGCGGTTTTTTTAACGAAAAATTTGTACATTTATTAACAAAAAGTTGAAACGCGGATAGGTAGGAAAATGGGATTCTAGGACAGAAATTCTAAGACAGAATGGGATTCTAGGACAGAAAATAGGACTATACAGCGGAATCCGGGTAGGTGGGGATTTTGGTAGGCAGGGGGACATAACTCGATAATTAAAAAGACAGGTAAAATTTTAACTGCAATAAACTATTAAATATAATTATATTTGCCGTTATTTTTAATAAAATACTTTTAATAAAATAGATTTGATAAAATTTACTTTTAATAAAAAACTTTACAAGTTAAATATTTTTAATAAAATGTATTAAATCACACTACAATAATTATTAAAGACATTGCATTGTAATTTTGTTGTATTTATTAAAAATTTGACAACATTAAACCAAATTTAAGATATTCTATTTACAAAATTAGTTGTAGAAATTAGACAAATGTAATATTGAATATGCAATCGGATGCATATAATAAGATTACAAGTTCTTGTGCGTTTGTCAAGTTTTTACTTTAAATTTGGTTTTACTTTTCAGAGATTGTTAATAAATACAGTCGGGATATTTTTTTATCCCAAACATGCAATATGTATCTATTTTACATTGCAAGAATTTGC